AGCGGCAAGCCCCGCCCCCAGGAATCCGGCCCCGCTCTTGCTAAGGCCGGCCCTGCCTGTATGGCTGGTCTCGGAGCAGCATGGGGGGGGGGTTACGTGGTAGGGTTGACAACCCTCCAGGATTGTCCTGGAGTCTCCAGGAATTAAAGATGAATCTTTAATTAAAAATTATGTCATGTGATGAAACCTCCAAGAATACAGACAACCAAAGTTGGCAACCCTAGTTACTGGACTCCCACAGATTGGATCACTCCCGACTGCTCCACTCACTCTCTTTGGATGGGATTTCTGTGACTGTCTCACGGTCCCTTACAGACTGTCTTAGATTCCCCAGGACACCTCTACAGGCCTCCCCACCTCGTCTCTGGTGCTGTTGTTCTCTTCCCTCCACAGGGTCCGGCCTGGCTGGGTCTGACACCTCTTCACGGAAAATTTTCTGCTTTGTGTACTGACAGTCACCCCACACACCAGCGCTCTCACACCAGTTGTTAAGTCTTTAGGCAGCTCCCCTCCAGCCTCTCACCCAGCTCTTCTGCTCCTGGCTTTTGGCCACAACTCCTCACCCCACCAGGAGCTGCTCTCGCTGTCTCTTTTGCCCCCCAGTGCACGTGGAGACCGGGACTTGAGCTGGCGCTCCCTGACTGGCCCTGACTCATCAATCAGACTGACTTGGGATGCTGGCTACTTCCCATTGGCTCTGGTCTTGGAGGTCTCTGATTGGCCAGAGGCCCTGTCTGTCCCAGGATGCTGACTCCTCCTTGGCCCCTATCCTCTCTCTTGGCATGGGGAAAGGGCCAACCAAACAAACTCACAAAGTTTTACTAAGGGGCCAACTGTCCTCTTACATAAAGCTGAGCCAAATTTTAAGCATGAATAGTTTTTTTGCCGAAAAATGCAGATTCAGGGCAACTGAAATGGTTCACAAATTTGAGCTGATTTTGCTGAATCGTTTCAGTTTTTAAAAAGAGGGGGAAAAAATCAAACGTCAAAAGAAAATGTTTTGACTTTTCACGTTAAAACATTTCATTTTTGGACTGTCTAAATTTTATATTAAACAAATTAAAAACCTCAAAAGGAACAAAAAGTTTTCTTTGACTGGAAACAATTTTCTACATTTTTGTTCCACTAAGAAATTCAAAAAAAAAAGTCATTTCTAGCTAGAGGAGAATTCCTCTTGGTGTCCTGTACCAGCTAGAGGCAGCTCATAATGCATCCCCAAGAATTAATTCACAGTTCCTTTAAATGTGCTATTGTCATTAGGAGCTAAGCAGTGTTGCCAACTCTTGTGATTTTATCACAATATTTGGTGTTTTTCTTGAAATTCCAACTCCTGGACCCACTTTAATATGACAGCATTTCCTCTTTCATTTAAAAGAAAAGTAGTAAGTTTCTAGCCCTCCTAGTTGTGGAGAAAAACCTGAAAAACATGACTCAAATGCACCCAAAAGGCTCAATAACCAGAAGGCAGATAAAAAGACTCCAAATTAATTGACAGTATTTAAATCTCATAAAATGTTGGGGCTTGACGGATGATCTTTCATGTTTGGAGCTGGAGATACTAATTCCATACCAAATTTAATTTTTTATAAAAAAGAAAAAACAGATCACTTGGCAAAATATAACCATGTGCGCATGCGCACACACATACGCATCTGATATATTACTTAAGAGTTTAACTGATGAAAAACTTATTTCTTTACATTCAGATCCCAAACACAACCAAATGGAATTTTCTCAAACTTTCAAAATAAATCCTCATCTCAGCTGAGAAAAGACAGGCGACTTTTCAGCCGAAAGCATCACTATTTTCCTGTAGTTATAAGCACCTTAAAATAGAGGCTTAGAATCAAAGTGCTTTGTCAGATACAGCGTTGCTAGTGCAATGATGTTCAATAATAGCATAAGACAAATAGAAAAAGATAATCTGCTGATATTTACTGCAATATTTTCTATTTTAACGACAGGATCCAGATGTTAAACCATGAGATATATTATGCTGTAGTTCCAGCTGGTTCTTTTATACTCCTGAGACAGTCCAATAACAGTTCTGAGTTTACTTTTAGGTCTTTTGTGCGTTTATATTGCCTATGA